TCATAAAAGCATGTTCATTATACTTGATTAATTTTCCTTTTGTCTTAGGGTCTGTGTGGTTTCAATATCAAATACTTTTATCATGGTATTTCCATATTAAGTATGTTCCAGTGTGAGTACAATCGACCCAGAACAGGGGGTTGAAATTGAGGGCTTTAACCTAGTGTTCTTAAAGTCGGCAAATTTTGATGTACAATGCACATTCTGTGAAATATACATTTTCTCTGTATTTACGTGCATTCGAATGATGTTATGAAAACAATTGTCATGAGTTGCATCTCCTATGCCAAAGCGTAGTGATAGATTTGGGACTTCCAAGATTTTGTGATATATAACTTTTCTACGGTATTCAATGGTCGAATAGGTGTAATGTACGTCGTATGTTATAACGATCACGATGCGATGTGGTACATCATGTAACTTTTGATAATATCACTCGTAGTGAAAATAAAATGCTATGAAGTAAATGGTCCAAAGTTTGCCTCACGGAATTGATACCTCTCAATTCATATAATAATCAAATTTGAGAGGTGTCTTGGGCACCAAACAGCCCACTCAACGTGCTGCAGAGCGACGTTGACGCAAGTTGCATACTGATAAGCAGGCACACGAATGTACAATAGCGAACACAGGAGAAGGACCAACCATTTGCTAGCACAAATCGAAAGAACAATAGAGAATGATTTCCCCGACATGAATCGCGCCCCCTAACAATCGCAGCAGCGCTGCGCTATGTGCTGTATCGAAACTATGTATCCTTGTGTAACGATGGCGTTATGAAGTTAAATACTAACGTTAACGCTATTGCTTGTGTGATGATGGGAGGTAGAAGATAGGCTCCAGTGGAAAAACGTTATCGGATGAACTGTACTAGAGCATCTCTACTGTGGTCACAAAAGCAAGTTGTCATTTCAATTTTGTGAGCACGGTGAAGGCACAACACAGTCATGTGCAACCACTGAGGATAGAAGAAGCAGGTACCAAACTACAGGGGTATCAGCATCTACTATGGGTACACAATGTGCCAATGGATAGTGACTTGGGTTGTTGGCACTATACCGCGATAGACTAGTTCTTGGATATTAACTAGTACCCGTGCTTTGAAAGTAACAACCTTTGTTACTCGTTAGCCTACTCTCGCAACTAAAGCTATCCACACAATACATGAGCTGGGGGTAAATGTTTGAAAGAGGAACCTCAAACCACGGATCGTCCTAGCCCATAAGTATAGCAATACTACTCAAAGTGAAGTACTCATATCTAACACTCCCATTGAGTATGCATGTGATGCAACACGCCTTAGGGCTAGTCTGGATGCCACATTATTCTGTCAGAAAACGGTTATTTTGCGAGGAAAAAGCTTGAATGCAAAAAGAAATGGAATTCTTCAAAAAGCGTGTGCCTGGATGCCTCAGAATTTTCGTGTGATTTACTCAAATTATGACAGAAATAAATACGCCGATTTGGCGTATGTTTTTCCTGGCAGTTGTCCTGGATCTACATTTGTGATATACTATGAATGTTTAGGAAAAATTGGAGGCATCCAGACATTTCACGACGAACTTAAGGCCGTTAAAATGTCCGCTAGCATCTTGTAGTTCTACACTAGTGAATTTTAACCCTTTTCTTTTCAGCAAGATCTCGTGAAAACAAATAATTATTTTCAATGTGTTTTGTTTCTTTGTGGTTTCCAAACTATTTGCCGATTTACTATCACACTATAATTGCACCGGGTCACTCAATTTGCATCCCAATTCATTCAATGTGCCACAGCCATGCACTTCCTTGATACCTTCACTTAATGTAACAACCAATTTTCTAATTCGGCAGTAGGCAATGCTACACAGCACTGCTTACAACTACACCATGATACGCATGTCCCCACAAGTACTACTGTGTTCTGGCTGAAGAGGTCCATTTGACTTTTTGATTGGCGGAATTTTTCTAATTTTGCGTTTTACTGCACTCTAATTGGCTTATCAAACGGCACGGATGCTCGTCTTTGATTGGTTTATTTCGGCGCTTTCCAGGCATCTTTTGCTCAAACGTTATGATGGTTAGAAATGCTTGGTTCCGCAAAGCACACACAGATTCACCCGCAGACCTTTCATTTTTCAATTATACGCTAAACGTGCAATATACTTCTGCTACGGATGCCATCACCCAAAGCAGCACGTTCTAATAACACACCCAGCGGCAGCCACGGTAGGCTGATGCTCAGCAACGCCGAGCGGCGCGCGATCTACGAAGCTTTGCTTAGCCTCAGTGTTCGCGGAGACATTCCGCATGGAGCACGAAGGTCGGTCAAATGTTCAACTGCTATTGGATGACCGCTGAGCGCATCTGGCAACGAGGTGTGTGGCCTCGCTTCGTGGCGGCAGCGCGGTCGCCATCGTCGACTCCAGACTCAAGGGTAAAAACCTGTCTAAACTTATATGTGTATTAACATTTATTCGTTTTTTAAAGTATTCATTTTCACGATTGTACTATTTTAGGTAATTTCAACCGAAAATGAACTGCCGATGAAATTGAGTTGGCGGTGAGGGCCATGCCGTTCATGGCGCGCGAAACGCTGCCATCTTTGGCTGACTTCGCCTTGAGAGTCTTCACTTCTTCCATGTGGAAGAAGTGAAGACTCTCAAGGCGAAGTCAAGTTATTCGAAACCGCTCCTAACAGAAGACAATTAACGACTTCGCGTGGAGCATGCGTTATCATTTCTTTCACAGTCGTCGGAAAATTCCACTTTTCCCAATATGTACGATTATGTTCATGTTGATGAAAAGTGGTTCTTTTTTGCGACTGTAAAGAAAAAGGTTTTATGCGTATAGTGATGAGGTTTTGCCACTTCGAGCGCTGAAGTCTAAAAGGCTTATTACAAAAGTTATGTTTTTGGCCGCCGTCGCTCGCCCACGGCATGACTTTCACAAAAAGTCGTACTTTGATGGCAAATTGGGAATCTGGCCGTTTATCGAAAATGTGTCTGCAAAAAGGGGCAGCAAATATCGCCCCAATGGTACTATAATTAAAGTACCACAAAATGTTAATTCGGACATTTACCGCGAAATAATTTTGCACAAGGTAGTGCCACCTATCAAGAGTAAATTTCCGATGCCAGATCAAAGTAAAATAATATACTTGCAGCAAGCCAATGTGCAAGTCCACATAACTGTGTGACTTCGCAGCTACTGCATGGTGTTATTGGTATTGAAGATGCCAACCAATCGCCAAACAGCCCCGATTTAAATGTCTTCCATTTGGGAAATTTTAACTCGATTCAAAGCCTACAACATCAAAAGCATTCGCGCACCATCGACGAGCTAATTAAAAACACTGAAAGCTCGTATGAAGAGCTGCCCATGGAAACTTTGTCAAAAACCTTCATCACTTAGCGCAACCACAAGCCTTCACTTCAAGATGGCGTTGGATGTCGTTGATCTTAGAAGTCAAATCCAAGCCTTGAACGTTTTTCATGCATGCATTGGCGACATGCATGGAGGTGTCGGTGTCTGCCTTCTTCAGTAGGCAGTCCGGCTCGTGTGTCAAGTTTATCTATTATAGATAAACTTGACACACGAGCACGGGCATTGCTTTGGTCGAGGAACCCAAGTTCACACCCGCTGATGCCTGCAGGTTTCAGGGTACACAAAAACTAATCGCCATTTTGGGACGTACTGCAAAATTATCTTGGCCCTAGGGTGATTAGATTTGACATCATCTTGGCCATCAATAAGTACCGTTGATTCTTCCCATTTCCAAGAAAGGACTGTTCGTCTTGCTTGTACCGACCGGCCATCTCCAGTCCGATCTGACGCGTCGTACGTGGCGGTCAAATTCCCTATCAATTCCCGAAATGTGATCTTTCACATTCCGTGGAAATTCGTTTTTTCTCTGAAACATAAAAGACCACCGATGTGATGAATTGTCATCAATGATGGTGCATGAGTACCGATATCACTTGTTGTTCCGTAATGGTCCCATTGACGCACATGACCACAAATGTCCATATGTAAAGTACCTAAGTCTCATGGGTTCTAGACCTTTGAGCATTCCTAAAGGACATCCTTTTGTGTTTCATTGTTTTTTCATTGCCATACAAGGATGGCAGCAGAATGGTAGTGTATTCAGCGTATCCTTAGATACTTGTGGGATGCCTTTGTCTTCCGACAGCATTGTGACTAGAAGTCCTTTGCTGATATGACCGAGTCGAATGTACCACTCTCTAAAAAGGGGCACGGGGCGCTAACTCACAATACCTCAAGGGATTTTAGCACCATCCACCTTAGGCCTCTTTGAATTAGACCTAAACTCCTTACGCCAAAAATCCTCCTTTCGTTTAGGACATTCCGACTTCACGTGAGGCTGGCCGCCGACGTCGTACTGGCCAAAACATTAGAAGCAGTGCGAACCGAAACGTCGTTTCCCACAGTGGGACCTTTGCTGTGCTTGCGCTTCATGTCCCCCGATGGACAAAATTCGCAACATAATTACCCTTGGATTGGCCATACCCACGGTAGATGCCGTTTGATTGGCTACCCATGCCGATAACGACCTTCTTGGACTTTGTCCCAAAAATCCTAATGAGTTTCGCCTTCACATCGACGAGGTTAAACGCCTTCTCGTCCAATGACATTTGAGCACCAAAGTACTCATTGGGCAAAAAGCGCAAAACCAACGCCACAATCGGATCCTCCCTGATCATTACCCAAGTACTTCTGAGTGTGGACGTTGATAGTGTTCCAGGCAAGACTTGAGGTCACAAAATAAGACTTCCAGATTAGGAAAATCGGTATTCGCCGTCAAGATCAAATGACCGACCAAGATCTTAACCGTGTTGACGTTCGACTTGCCATAGCGCTTCTGGACGGTGGCCCAAAGTAGGTGCACGGGCTGGTCTTCACCAAAGATGTCCTTGAATTGCTAGGTAAAGAAAGGCGTCAGGGAGGACCTTGGTGAGCAGACTTCTGATTTCTTGAACTTGCTCAGATCGATAGTAAGAGTATCACCGTTGCTCAGATTCGTCCGCGCCATGTAACACTGGGGGCTCGCCGTACAGCCAGTCTTCGAACTTGATCTTCGGCTCAGGTCGGCTCGTCTGAATACCTAACCATTGGCCAACCTTCGCGGTGGTCAACGCCTCAAGGTGTTATACAAACTTCTGGGTCCAAAAGCGGTAGCTTTTCTTGATCCCGTTGAACACCAAGAGTTTGATGTTGGGGTCCTTGGAGTTGGCAGCCATAGTGTCGTACTTGAAATGTTCGTAGCAGCGGTTGGGTAGTAGTAAGGGCTCAGTTCAGAGAAGAAACTGGAATGACCAAAAGGCCTGTAGAATCAACTTGGCACATCCTAGTCAACAAATATACATGCAACCACTCATGTATCTACGGTCAAAATCAGTGGTGGCTAGCCACTGGGGACTAGGGTTGCAGGATGTCTCAAAGTCACTGCCCAATCACCGATCACCATGACTATGGGTCATAGTGGAGGACCTTTTTTTGTCACACACTAAATAACGAAATACACACAGAAACGACCGAAAAAAACACAAATTTTAACGAAAAACACACACGACCCAATAACACAATATAAATCCCGAATTCCACACAAACTTCGCCGAGCACAACACACAATTCACCGAATTCCACACAAAAAACGCCTAATCCACACCAAAATTCCTGAACAGTTAGGACGGAAATAGAAAACA